TGCCGGCCCAGCAGCCTCTGGTGGCCCCCCAGCGCCTGCTCCCGCTGCGAGCAGGCGGCCAGCAGCTTGCAGGCGCCCTCCCGCATCCGGATCTCATGGTCGATCTTCTTCTGGATGTCCGTGTCCTGCGGGGACCGAGCGGCTCAGCGCGGCCCTGGGCACCCGGGGGCTGCAGGGAGCTGGGGGGCAGGTCCCCCGGGTCCCAGGGCTGCAGGTGCCATGGGGGACGAGCTGCCCTGCGCAGCCCCCCTGCACGGAGCAGCTCGGGGGGAAGAAAGCACCACTGTGCCCAGCTGAGATGCGGCCCCCGCGCGCGGCGCTGGCACAGAGGGGCCTGTGTGCAGCAGGAGGGGGCGGCTGGACAACGGGTGCCTTGTGGGGCTCGACCCCCCCGTCTCCCACCTGCTCCAGACAGGGCTGAGCCTGGGGGGCCAGCTAGGACCTGGGACAGGCAGGATCTAGCCCTGATCCTGGGCTGGGCCCACAGGCCTGGCCTGAATCCCTGATGCACACGCGAGCGTGGGGGGGCGGCTTCTTCCTCCCCATCCTTTGCTGCCATGGAGAAATAAATAAATATTTCCATGCCCGGCACGGGTTACCAGGCAACCTCCGCTCCCCCGGCCTGCGTGATGCCCCCGCCATCCAAGCAGGCCTCTGCAGCCCCCAGGACTACGGCGCGGGAGAGGAGGCGAGGGAGCCACTGATGGCCCCACAGATACCCCTCCCCAGACATGGCCCCCGGGGCCCAGCGCCCCAAGGGAGTCAGATCGGGGCTCGCTACTGCCCCCAGTCCAAGCATGGGGTCCCCCAGCTGCCCCCGCCGCCCCCACGCCAGCGGCCCCGGGTGGCAGGACCAGCCTCGCTGTCTGGCGCTGCACCCCCAGGCCCAGGGCCCCCGCGCCGCCGGACGCCCCAAGAGCCTGGAGGCGGCGCTTGTGGACGTTACCCCTGGAGCCTAGTGTCGGCGCTTCCCGGCACGGCCCCCTGCTCACGCACAGCTCCCCGGTCTCTCCCCTGGGGGCACGGAGCCCCTGCGCCCCAACCCCCTGCAACAGGGACCTGGTGCAGGCCTAGCCAGGTCCACCCCAGAGCCAGGTGCCCTGGGCTCCGGCCGAGGCTGGGGGTGGCCGCGGCCCCGCACAGCGCCCAGCTGCAGCTCTGGGGAGCCAGAGGAGAGAGCTGGATGGACCCCCGTCTCCGCCCCCACCGGGGACAGCTGCAAAGCCACGGAGGAAGACGCCAGCACCCGCTGAGGGGCTGCTACCCCATCCCTGCCGGCGCCCGCACCGGGCCTACAGCCGGGGGGCCTCGCACAGCACCCCTCGCCCCCGCGGCCCAGCCCCCGCCCCGTCCTGCCCCTGGGCGGGGGGACAAAACCCAGGAGTCTGGGGAAGGGGGTGCAGACGAGCCCCCAGGGCTCTGCCCCTGCCACACTACAGCTCCCAGCCTGCCCTGCTGCGCCAGCCTGGGAAGGGGCATCTGGCCCCACATGCTGCCCCACAACTGGGGGGCAGAGCCAGGCCCCTGCCCCACGCACTGCCACCTGCCTTCCCCCAAGCGGGGCTGGTGCCAGCTGGCTGACATGTGTGCGGCTGGGCTGGGCTGGAGCCCGGCTGCCTGCAACACACGGACACGCGCCAGCGCTGCTGCCACGTGCTGCCACGGCACCGGGCCTGCAGCTGCGGCCCACACCCCAGAGCCCCCGCCCCTCCCCCAGCATGCTCATGGCCCCAGGGAGCCTGGGGACCCCCGTGGTGAGAGACGGGACCCAGGAGTCCAGGACCTCCGCCTTGTCGCCTTCAGTGTCCCCTGGCAGCCTTGAGGGCCGGGCAGGCCGGATGCGGTGCCTACCTGCAGGCTGAGTGCGATCTGCCGGATGTAGAGCATGTTCAGGTCCTCCAGGATGCGCAGCTTGTCCTGCATTGCTGCCCTCACCGCCGTGCACGCGGGGA